GGAACTTCAATGTTGATTCTATTATATCCATAAAAACGTCTGCTCATGTGCTATTAGGTCTTTTGGGGGGGGACCTATGAAGCATGGATACACCATAAGAGACTAAAGTGTCAGTCTCCAACATGATAGGATGCCGACATGCAAAGACACATGTTGGATACTGGCGTGTCATTTTTTCCTTTCCGTTTTTTAGTCATACACTGATGACTCTTCGAGACATGGTCAAGCCCCATTCTGCTGTTGTCAGAACAAAAGAAAAATCGGGGGGAAAAAGTAAGACACATTTAAACAAACCTGAATCTTTCTCAACTGGAAGAGAGCCAGAGAAATCTGATAATAATTTAACTAGCTGTGAATCTCACTGTAATTTTGGTGTCGATGATTTCTTGAGGTTAGTAACAAAACCATTGTGCAGATAGGAGATAGATGAACAGAGTGTGGAAGATTTTGGATAGTAGAAATGAGGATGGAAAGGTCCCAGACTCCCGAGTATGGTTTGGGTGTGGACTAAACATCCACATGAGCCATTGCATTAACTTGGCCCAACAACGCCATTCGTTTTCCAAATGACATCCACAAAATAATAATAACCCACAAAAATGAGTATTTTAATTATGGAAAAATGACAGAATAATAAAAAATAATTTAATTTTAAGCTAATTTAAATATCAACATGTCCTCAGCATATTGCTGTCCCCTTTTTTGATTCTGCCATCCTTATCTTGAAAAGGAAACTCAGCTAGATCAATTTTTGTGTTCCCGAATTCGAAGAACTAGGGTAAAGACAAGTAAGCTAGAATTAATGCTGCATTTCCTCCAAGAACGAGCATGAGCATGGTTTTTCTTTGCCAAAATCTCCTCTCCAACTAAAACTAATTCTATTTAGAGCCTGAAAATTTTAAACGTTTCATTTATGACTGAGCTGTTACCTAGTTAACCATTTGCTGCTACTCTTATCTTGAAAGCTATTTTAACTGGAAGTTTATTGCGTTTCCGACTTCAAAGAACTTATATAAAAACTAATTGAGCTAGAATTCTTTTAAATCGTGCTCTTCTGTGGAGCTTCGGTTGCCATTTACCCATTTTTGTAATGTTCACCTGTTCTATCTGGCCCTTTTTATCTAATCTTGTAAGAAATGTTCTTGAATTTGCATAACATAATGTAATGTAATTGAATCTGAATAAAAGTAGAATTGTTTGGTATTGGATCTTTTAATCGATTTAAAACACTGCTCTTCATGCTTTGCAATATGGACCTTGATATTTTTATGCTTTAATTTTCTTTGTAAAAAGTGTTGGGATCGACTGTCTTCAGCTGATGTGTTGATGGGAGACAGACGAACAATGAATTAAACAACGAAGACGTGAAAGCCTTCATTAACTTCTAACTCAAAGAAGCCTAAAACAACTTGTGTACGAATACTGCATGCAGTTATTGATTATTTAACATCAAATTCTCCTGATTGCAGTTGGCTGGAGCATCACTCGAGTTGATTTATCGGCTGATTCCCGAGCATGTTCAGAGACAAGCTAGTATGAGTTTTCCGCATCCTGCTGGGACGTGATTATTGCTACAATATATTGTATCGTGTTGGTGTTAATGGGTATGTAGCAAACAAAAGGCTCTCCGTATTATGATCAAGTGTTTTTGCAGTAGTCTGTGGTTTTTGACGCCCCAAAAATATGTTAGCATGTAAAATGGTGGTTCATTAAATTGGAAAGTTGGAATGTATAGTATGTTCGTTGAGTAAAACGAGTTTTCATCACTTCTGTATATTCTTTTTGGTGGAAATGTAGTACAAATGATTGTGTTATGTTAAAACTGAGCATATTTCGTTATGGAACAGAAGATTCTATGGGGTTTCGTGTAGTATTTGTTGTTTTCAGTTTTTTAATGTTGTTTATAATGTGATTGGTTGTAGCTAAAAGTTTTTGACTAAGCTTTTCAAGTTTCAAAAAAGCTTTTTCAAATGGGCTTTTGTATTTTTTAACATTCAAAAAATTGTAAAGTATTGTTAGACGTGAATGTTAAGTTTCAAGCTTTACGAGCTTAAGCAAAACCTAAGGAAATAACTCCTTTTATTTTTTTATTTTCAATGTTATTTTAAATTTGTACTCAATCTAAAAATTATTTAATAATTAAAATAATATGTACTAAACGTCTTAATATAAAATACTATATTTGCTAATAATTTTTACTATTAGTCAATTATACAGTTTTGAAGTATTGAAGGTACAAGCAAAACAAACTCTTATCAACTTTGCTTTGAGGGGGTGAAAGAAGATGAGTTTTATCTCGGCTCAAATTGAAATCACTCTCTCTTTTATTTTTGTGCATGTAAAGCTGTAACTCCCGAAGCCGATTTAGTGACCTCATGAATAGCATTTGCCAAGTAACCAACATTGCCAGCATTGGCGGAGTCAGCACCCGGCAGCTGCCGATGCTGGCTCCGTTGGTATAATTTTTTTTTTAGCCATTCTCTAGGTCAAGGGTTCAATGAGTGTGTATAAACTGAAGAAGACATCACCAACTTGAATACAAAATTGTTCATTCGTATTCCAAAATTTTCCACAGCCACAGGCTTGAAGAGAAGGTGTCCCAGAATGGCTGCTATATTTACTGTGATTTACTGAAAATTCTAGAAACAACAAATATGAAAATTGCAAAGCCGTTGAAGAATTCTCCGGATGAAGGAAGTCGATAATTCCACCGACCTTTCTGCCTATATATATGCGTGTGTATTTGCTGTATGTATGCAAGAAAGAAAGCGTGAGTGATGCGAGAAACAGAGAAAGTTAAAAGGCAGTGAGAAAGAGTGAGTAAGAATAATTTGGTGTTGTCTTTGTTAAATATTAAAATAGTGAGGTAGTTAGAATAATAAAATCACTTTATTTGGTGTATAAACTTAACATAAACTCTGTCCCGTGGTTTTTTTAAGAGTAATGCTATTCATCCCTACTGGGGATGAAAACACAGTCTATATGACGTTAATGTGGCATTAAATGATAGGTGAAATTAAATAAGTCATTTAATTTCATATTTCATTTAACCTATCATTTAAAGATACCTAGATTGTTTTCATTTCCACTGGGGATGAATAACATTACTCTTTTTTTAAACTTTGATGCAGCATGAATTCTTGATCTATGTGTTGCTTTGCATCTTGGCTACCTCCCCAGAGTCATTTATCATTAATATTATTATGCTGTCTATGCCATTACCAAGAAGTGATGAAATCATTTTTTGGTAAGTATTCAATAATCATTTTTGGAGTGCTTATTTGTACTAATAATTTGC